AAATATAAATTAATACACATCCATCATTTTGTTTTGTTCCAATAAAAGATAAACCCATTTTATACACAAGAAAATCTCGCCAGATATGACATAAAGATTGAATAATACCCAAGGGAGGCCATGGCCCTGAAAAGATATCACATCCAGCGAAACTTGAGAGCTCCCTAAAGATATATGATTTTGTTTTAAACTATGTGCTTCTTACCAGCCCCCCGAACCAGCCCCGGCGAACAGCCAAATGGTCGTTATCTTTTCGCATTGTGCGTCGCAGACACCGCGGCGTATGCGTGTTGTGAATCATCCGCCCCGTGTACACGCCACACAGCGACACCCATACACACTTGACCGTCTGCCACCGAAAATACATACAATATTTCGCACTTTTTTTTCGTTTTTGTTTTTGTTTTTGTTGTGCTAAAAGTTTTATGTTCTGTGCGTACGAAAAAATGTGCGTGTTATCGCTCATGAATCGCTCAATGAACTGTGGCGCAAAAAAACAAAACGAGAAGCGAAAAAAATCCACACAATAATAAACTAAATCAAGAGCGAAACAACTTTGATAGAAAGCCAGCCAGTCAGCCATTCAGCCATACAAAAACAACAACAAACCGAATGAATTTTGCCATAAATAGTTGTTGGCATTTACTGTTGTTGCTGTAGTTGTTGTAGTTGTTGCAGCTGCCGAGCCGCGCCGCACAAAAGGGGTGGTGGTGGCAGCAATATGAAAACTATTGCGGTGGGTCAGGGTGAAAATGAAATAGAAATCTATGAATAGTTTCGAGCCAGAGAGCAGCGACAATGAATGAATAAATGAATGAATCGCACGCCCTCTCTCGTTCCCTCTCTCTCTCTCTCTCTCTCTCGGACTGATTAAGCAAATAGTGGAGCTTATTAAAGCGAACAAATTATCGTGTAATGGCGTAGATATAATATATGGCAAACTCTGATACGACGAGTACTCCTCTAGGCACATTTATACAAATTATATATGCAGGCTGTGCGGAGTATTTATGCCCCAATCGGACCACTTATCCACCCCATTGATTCCATTTGCTTTGTCAACCCCTAAGAACTACATTACGCATACGCCATGTGGCCTCCTGCCTGCGTGGGAAGGGCATAGGTTCTAGGTTCTAGGTTCTAGTTCTTCATCTGCTGCCAAAATGGCTTCATCTTTCGGTCCCTCGTCATTTAGGCGATGGGAACGGACAAGACCAAGTGCCCGGCTAGCTCAGTCGGTAGAGCATGAGACTCTTAATCTCAGGGTCGTGGGTTCGAGCCCCACGTTGGGCGAAATTAAATTTTTTCCTCTTTTTTTTTCCAATTTTATTTATTTTCCTGTTTCTCAAGCGGAAAAGTGTGGGAAAAATAAAAATCTATACAAAAGAAAAAAGATAATTTCTGCGATCCTGCCAGGAGTCGAACCTGGAATCTTCTGATCCGTAGTCAGACGCGTTATCCATTGCGCCACAGGACCGGTTGAGAGCCGCCGTGTTGGTGCTTCGTTTTAGGCCGTTTTTTATGTGCCATCAACTGTGTCTATTGTGCGTGTGGGCATCTATTGATAAATGTAAACAATAAACAGAACCGGTTGCCCATCCGATGATCTACACATGTTCGAACCTCGAATCTCTAAGCTTTTTTGTTCAACCAAAAACCCTCCAAAGAATAATAATCTACAAGAATTTATTGGTGCAGACAGACAAAGCAGGAGAATTGCAAATATTTGCTCCACCAATAACAACAAATGCCAAAAAATAAAAGTTCGTAAAGAACGGCAGCAGAAAAATACGCAAAAGAAGAAAAATAAAACGATGGCAACACGTTTTGCGCCTCAAAAAACACGACACAATGACGCTGATTATTGTGGGAGAGGGGGCGTGTGAGTGGGCAGGGCGGCGGCGTCAGATTAGAGGTGGAGGCAGACAGAATTTTTGGGGATACAAAAAGAAGAAAAGAAAGCAAAAATCAACGAAATAAAAAAGTAAAACCAAAATGGCCGACGCGTCGGCTGGGCTGCAATTTTTGTTGTATATAGAAGAGCAGACCCCCAGACTCTCTCTCTCTTTCTCTCTCTCTCTCTGCCCCTCTATATATGTGTGTACATAAGGCTGGGTATGTGTGTGTGTGTGTTTGTAAGGCATTTAAATGAAATTAGAATGAGAGTCATGAACATTTACTGGCCCGTCTGCCCGAGTGTGTGCCAGCCTGTCTCTTTTCGCTTTCGCATGACACAGATACAGATACACCGAGGCACCGAGACACCGATACACCGATACACCGATACATTCGCAGGCAAAGAGAACAAAGCGTAGACGACCGACACTTGATAGTGGGACAGAGGCTAGCCCTGACCCTAATTTTTGGGCAAACAAACATTTCATTGAGGTCTCTCGCTGCTGTCTCTGCTGTTGGGGCCTGGGGCCTGGGGCCTGATGTCTCCACCGGCAGGAGGATAATCCAGAAGCGATCCGATCTAATCTCGTTTCGATTTCGATTTCGGTTTCGCTGTGCAATGTCAATGATCTTCTAGATCCAAAAACTAGCACATTGATCCATAAAAATTGTGTGTGCCTTATTTTGTGTTTTCTTGTTTTTTAATTTCAGCGAATTCTTTTCGTATGATTCGCAGTCGTTCCGTTCTGTTTAGATATTCTTAATTCTGATGTTAATGAACTTTTCTGCTGCAGTTTTGTTGCTTGCGGTTTGGCTTTATTGTTTTCCACTTTGTGATGTCAAATGTTGATTTATTTGTTCACATTTCATTCTACTGTATCTTTGGTTACATTGAAACTGGTTTCAATCAAAATTCTTGTGAGATTTCGCACAACAAAAGCTAAGGATTAAAATGAAATAAAATCAAAGCTTTTCACTTGCGAAAATTACCCCTATATTCATTCAGTTTATAGTTCATGTTTCTCTGATCTTTCGAATGGCATTTCTTGAGCACTTTATAAACATTTCTTTCTACAATCTAGCATATGTATACCCTGCTCCAATTGAGTTCCTGGTTGTGCCTATTATTCCAATTCGTTGTTAAATAAACACAATTTTCAAATGAGGGCATTATCTCAAGGTCGGTCGCCCCTTCAATTGCTCTCTCTCTCTCCCTCTCTCTCTCGCTATCTATCCACACGCCCTCGCATTCGCACTCGCCTTTTGCTTTCACTTTCGTTTTTTTGTGGGTGCTTTTTTTTCTATTTTGGCAAACAACCTTGATAAAAAATAAACTATTTTTATCAGTGAGTGCCGTGGAATGGGGCCAATGGCAGCGGAATCTCTCAGTGTTTGGGGTTAGTGTGCCAATTAATGATTAGATTGTTCCCCCCTCCCCCCCTCCCCCACACTCACTCACACACACGGGGATAGATGTGTTCTATGTGGGTTACTGGGCGAAATCATTTGTGATTCTCTGGGGTAAACAAATTATCTATGCAAATGTCATGCCCCCTCCCCCCCCTGCCCCGCCCAAACTTGATCAACTGTAAAGTTGCTGCCTTTGTTACCGCTCCTCTCCCATCTATAAATAATCACAGTTTTCATTTGGCCACTTGCTGGAAACTTGGCCTGGAGATGCGTCATTTCTTGGGGTCTTTGCGTGAGTTTTCTGAGGTGGGGGGAGGCTGGCCATCAGTGGATACCAATTAAAAGATGCGGGCCCTTCAATGACGTTGGTTGTTGATTACGAGACCCTGACCTGGCAAAGCATATCATAGGGGTGGAAGGTGTGGCTGGAAGGACATGTGATATAGAATTTTGTTTCATTTTCACATCGAAGGCTGTGATGATGTCAATCGAAATCGATTTTATATCGGCGGCATCGCCTAATATGTTTTTATCGATATCAGGCATCAGTCAATGACTTCATCAGTGGCATTTTGTTCTTGCAGCAATCACCGCTAATCGATTGAGCCTTCATCATTATCAGCGTCAACAATCACCACCAGACAGTGAAAAAAAAGTACAAATGAAGGACTGGCAAGAGGGGGTGGGGGGGCGAAGAGAGAGAGGTGGAATTCAGTTGACAAAAAATGTGATCCAGTAAAATACAATGGAATTGCATTTAAATGGCCATAAATCTAAATCAACAAAGTGACAATCGCAAATGAAAAACGAAATGCACAAAAATACACACAGCGATGTTTCCAAGTAAATATATACTAGTACATATATGTATCGGAATACATATGTATGTAGAAATACTTATTCGTATTTAAAGAAATTTTGAGAGCCAGACGGGCAAATGACCCACAAAGTAGCCATAAAAAAAAACACATAAATGAAACGAGACTCGCAAATATGGCGACCCTCGATATGGGGAGACAACGGAAGGAGCAGAAGCAGATGGAGAAAGAGAAAGAGAAGGAGCCCCAAAAGACCCATAGAGATTGCCCCACTGTGCCGCAGCGAGAATTTAACCTTGAGCCGGCGACTGATTACAAAATTGCAATGATAACTGCCACTGACCCCGCAGCAAGCCGAGCAAGAAAGGAGAGAAAAAAGAAAAAAGAGAGAGGCAGAGGCAGAGGCAGAGTAGAAAGCAATCGCTTAATTCTGCGTTGATAAGTCATCGTGCTGGCGGTCCCAGGGAGCGGTACGGCACGGCTTCCACATGGAACAAAACTCGACGGACAGACGCATATTTTTGCATTTGTTTTCTCTTCCTCTTTCCTCTTCGGCGGACGTCAACCGGGGAGTCGTGGGGCCGGTCCGGGGCTGGTGTTTGGGGGAGTCGGAAAGAGCAAATAGAAACGGTTTAGCTCTTGGCGGAAATTGGATAAAAGAAGTAAATGTATTTATTTATTGTATATGCAAATAAATCAACACGAACCAAAAGACTATTCGACATTTCCGTTTGAAATGATTGAAAAGGGAAATCGAAATTTATCGATTCCCGCTGATGCTGTCCCGAGCGATGCTCCTGTCTGTGCGGGGAGGAGTTTGCGGGGCAAGGGATAGCTATCCCCGGTATATCTTTGCTTAAGCGAAAACTCTGGTTGTTAAACATTTATTATCGATAAAAACGATATATATTGTCGATAAAATATAAGGAGAAACTTTGATTCCAAACAGATAGATTTCGTCAAAGCTTTCGATGCCCATATCGATTGTCTCTCGATAAAGACCAAGAAGAGACACTTAATCGATTAGTCGATACCCAATGGGTAATCATTTTTTGTGATTTTCTATGCTGCCGAAACCTTAACAAATTTGTATAATGCCATAACACAAAAGTACGAAGAGCTAGGCATAAGAGCTAATTAATGCCTGAAAGATACGCAGGTTTTCAGAATATTCGATTATTCGATTTATCGGCTATCGACTCACCCTGTATCTTCTGCATCTCCTCGGTGCTCAATATGGGGGGCTCTGTGCGCCCAGGAGTGCTTTCGATCATGGCATTGGGATCGACAATGGACTGGCAGGACATCAGGGACTTGCGCTGCTTCAGGTACTTCATCCAGATACTGGGCTCCACCTTTGGCGCCGCTGAAGGGTTCTCTATGTTGAGATCGAAGCGTCCCTTCTTGACGAACACCTGATTGGTCAGGTGGAAGTGATTGTTCTTTATGAAGAGATTGTGGGGGTACTTCGGCCCCTGGTCCATCTGTTGGTCGCCCATTGCTGATTGGGGGCTGCAGTTTTCGTTGATCAACTGGCGATTGCACTCCTGCAGATCCGCTACCAAGCCCACCAGTTTCGTGTTCCTCTGACGCAGCTCCTGCAACTGAGCGTCGGTCTGCTCTTTCATCGCCTGGTACTGCAGCCACATCTGCTCTTTCGAGCGGGGCTTGCATCTCCCCATCAGACCAGCGATAAAGTAGTGATCCAGGAGCTGAGCAGCCTTGACCAGGGCAAATAACCCCAGCAACAACCACAGGAATGCCCGCACATACCCTGCCAAACTGTTGTCGTTTGTTGGTTCGCTGTCAATCGTTAGGTTTTCCATTGCTGAAAATTTCTGGTGTGATTATGTCGAGACGAGAGTCTGATAGTGATTGGGAATACGTTTGGAGCAGGGCTTACTCGGTGAATGCCCCTGAGGAGACTGCTTCGATTGAGGCTTTGTTTTCGTTATGGAATTTTAAAGGTTTTCTCTGACTTCTCCCCTCGACCCGTGCCATGTCTCGACCCAATTAGAGGGCAAATTGGGCACCAAAGAAATGAAACTTTCGCGGTTCGTGTTAATAAGTTGTGTGTGTCTCGGGGTCGTTGCCAGACGGGTGTCAGACTTCGCCCCCCCCTCGCCCTTCGCCACCCACTGCTCCCCTATTGGTTGTACGTGTGCGTGGGGGGGGGGGGGGTAATTTTATTAAGTGCTCCCGTCTATGTCTACAAAATTATGCTTAATTTTGTTATTTTTATGCGTGGTCTAATAATTGCATTTGATTTTGTTTGTTGTTTCTGTTGTGGCTTTTAGAAGCCACAACCAGGCTATGCTTTACGATACCCTCACGAAAGGTATATCCCGCTTATGGGCAACGATATTTGGGCGGGATATTTGAGGGAATGCTCCAGAATGGTGCCCTGATGAGAACGCTCTCCTTATGATCGTTATCCTTATCCTTTTTACTCCCAGCAAGAGCATTCCCCGTTTTGGCTTAATCCGAATCAGATTTTCCTTATTTTCTTTTGATTTGTTATAACAATTTTCGGTAGCCAGACAGCGATGGGCGGGGGTGCTTGTGGGTTTTCCCCCACTTTGTTGACTTAATTAGGTAAAACTCAGCCAAAAATGAGTAAGAACCGCAGCAAATGCTGTTCTGTTCTGTTCAGTTCTGTTCGGTTCGGTTCGTCGTCGCCTGTCGTCTGTTCGTTCAATGAACTGTCGGTAGGCGCACCGCAAATGATTATTCATACACATATACGTGTACACCTACCTATATTCTGGTATTCTGGTATTCTGGTCTGAGTATGAGTGCACTTTCAGAGTTCACTGGGGACATCTGGGGTAACAACAACTAAATTTTGTGGCAACGACAAAAATTGAGTTTCTGTTGATTCATAAAACAAATGTGAAAGGTTTTTTGAGTAACGATAAGAAGTTAAAACAAACAGACTATCGATAATGGGAGGAATACCCCAAAAGAAGACATGGCAGGTCCCTTCAGTATCCCCACAAGAAACCACCAATCTATGTATCTACGAACCTCCGATCGAGTCCTGCACACGACATGTACGAGGGTTGTGCACCATTCTGGGGCATTCTCTTTGGCAGCTTTCGCTTGTGAGCATCATAATCTGTCGTCATGCACACGACATGCATAATGTGACGGGCTTTCTCCTTCGCTTGTGCGTCTCGAGCATCACGTGGTATCGATGACGTGCCCACCGCTGCTCCATGCGATGGAGATCTTTCAATCGATTCTGCTCCAAAAGGCGAAACAAGTTCAAGGCAGAAGCAAATATAAAGAAAAAAGAAAGAGAGAACTGGAAAGAGAATTGTGCACTAATTAATTGTTTGACGTGCATACAAAATGGTGCGACCGACAGCAGCAGCAGCGCAACAGACTTCACACTTGATTAAATATGTGCAATTTAAAAATAATTTACAAAACTTTCAGCGCGGGCTGGGAGTGGGGCCGAGGTGGGTGCGAGGTGGGGGCAGTGCGGGCTTAAGGGTTGCGTGGGTGGAGGGCAGGCTGGCTTCCAATAGAGTAAAACGCAGATTGTGTTGTGGGAAGTGCGTTGCAGTTATTTCCGTCATCCCAGAAGCTAGCTCTCGCCCGGTCAAAGCTGTCAGACATCGATGGAGGGAGAGAGATAGGGGGGGAGAGGGGCAGCCCTAAGCTCTGGCGCGTGTTGCACACTTGGGCTCCTACACACGCAGAACCCCTACACAACTTCCACCACAGCTTACAAGGTTACAGTAAACAAAGACAGAAGCGAAAGGTTCAGACAGGGACAATACCCTGTCTCCATTATGGAGACCCGATCTTGTAGGTTCTAAAGCATGGAAATACCTACCGAACTCATCATACCCTTGGAAAGACCGCAGCCAGACAACTTGCAAGTACATTCCGCTGTGAATTACAACTGCAACCAGTGTCCATGCCCCTTTGAGTGTTGACATGTGGATTTCAGATGAATTGCTGTCTGCCTGTCCAGTTGTTTGCCATTTTCCGCAGGAAACTACTATGGATAGCTGGCGTGCCAAGGCCAGGCCCGTGCACACGCCCGCAGGCAGACGCCCGGACTACTGTTTAATATGCAATCGATGGCTGGTTACGCTGTCAGGCTGCATCATGATCTAGCACCCTGGAGGATGCCAAAACATTCGCTCGCATATAATTTACGAGTGCACGAGTGTACTCGCGAATAACAAAAATATTCTAGTGCCAGCAACAACGCCTCAAATTGTCACTTGGAATGAAATAATGTCACGCATGTCGGCATAAATCACGAAATATAATAATAATCACATGTAGCATGAATAAAATGAAAGGTACAGTGCGTTTCGTGGGCATAAAAGAGAGGGAGAGAGAGGAAGAGAGCTGTTGAAGCGTGATATGAGGATTGATAGAGTCATAAAAGGAAACCTAAAGCTATGACAATAATACACTTGAATGAATGTACGACTAAGAGCCAACCAATGAGTATTCCGCTCATCCGAAAGTGCTGATTGAACCACCACCAAGGCACGGATCAAATCTGTTCGTTGTCGGGCCAGCTAGTATTAGAGGTATATGTATATGTCTCTGAAACGCACTGTACACCTGCATGTCGTCTCGTCTATAGCTCACAAGAAACTGGCAGCCAGCATCAGTAAATTATTTTAATCAAATTCCAGACACAAGCTAAATATCCATTCCATTCAGCTGTGTCTGGCTCTGGACAGAACCATTCAGAGCTCTGCACCGAGGTGGGAATGAATGGTGGTGGTGGGGGGCCCCACTCAATGGGGCGCTGGGTCCCCCCACCCCCTCTCCTTCCCTCTAGACTGAGACGGTGGTTTGGCATATTGCGGTTTTATGCTTTTATTTGCTGTTTTTTATATATTTTTTTTGTGTTTTCGTAGACAGGCCGTCAAGTGTCGGTGGCAATTTTCAAATTCAATTTGCATTTCGCATTTGAGCTTTAGCTCTGTCTCTGGCTCTGTCTCTGGCTCTGGCGTGACACGAGAAACGTGAACAAATAATAATAAAGATTTTTAATGCTGGCGCGTCGCGACTCCCATGAATGAATTTCGGAAAAATAGCAGGCTCTCCTGCAGTGGGAAATGCAAATTATTTGGGGGGAAAATTGCACGCTTCACAAGCATGCAACACTCGCAGTCAGTCAAGGTTTTTCCGCCAAACAGGGGGATGGCGCGGAAATGAGGAAAAACAGAAGCGACACACAAATGTATCTGAAAATGTGTTAAACTACGGGGAGATGGTTGCTAATTTCTTGTCTATGAATCAAACTGGATTTCGTTTATCAATGAAATGACCTTCTGCGACGAGTATCCACTGGACAGGAACTAGATTATGATACTACTGATATTTTACTCCATATGAGATAATTAATGAAATTCTTTGTATCTTTGTTTCTTTTCAGGTGAGTTATCGATAAGATCGTACGTTTCTTTGGAATAAATTTCCATTTATATTATGCCAATATCTGGTAGAATGGTAAGTGCTGCAATAAAAGTGTTTATGAGAAACAGAAGTCCAGCCATTGCAGGCTCATACAATATTAAATGTTCAATCGACCGATGGCTATTGCCTGCGGCTGTCCATGGGCGCCAAAAAACTGAATTGATAAGAAGAATGCATTAGACATTGTCTGGAGGGGGGGACCAGAACAGAAAACGACACGCAGATAAGCGGCTTTTGTCCATTTCGATATGAATTCCACATTAAAGACTGGAATGTAAAGTGCACTTTGTGACTGCGGGAGGAATACTATTATGCCATCTAATGTCTTTGATTTATGGCATAGAAACCGCAAAGGGAATGGTTTTGTGTATAGAATTAAGGGCTATTGAGAGGTACGTTCTATTATCGAGACAACTATGTATTACTCTACGATTAAAAGCTGTTGTTATATTGATAAACCATCAAGTTATCGATATTATTCGATTAAAAGCTGCTCTTCTAGCGATAAAACATCACATGATCGATATTAATCGATTAAAAACTGTTATTCTATCGAGAAATCATTGAATATTCTACCGTTAATAGTAAATCTTTACGAACATTAATTAAGATGACCGATACATCGATCTACTTCGATATATCGACTAGTTAACATGTTGACTGTTCTCTGAATGCAACTCTTCCATCTTTCTACACTCAATTCATGCTTACCCATCGATATCCTATATGAACCAACTGAATTCTTATCAGTTTTTTTCGATATTAAGTGCATTTCGCACTTTCATTTGGTGCCAATTGATCCCACTGTGCCATGCGCGACCTTCCACCACCCATTTAAGGTCCACTTATGTATTGGAATATATATACGAAGACATGTATGTACTTGCACGCTCTTGTTGGACAACTCCCTGCAATGTACGCTGCCCCCTGCCTCTGCCCCCTGCCCCCTGTCCCCTACCCCCATCCTGCAGTGACTCTGCTGGCCGGCAGTGCCCCATTACATTACATTACCCATTCATAGACGCTTATCGGGAAACAACCACCGATACCCGATGTTTGACTATTTGCCCACACGGCTCGGTCGGTTGGTCGGTCGGTCGGTCGGTCTTTCGGTCGTTCGTTGCATGCCTTTCAGTGCCATGTCTTTCAGTGGTTCCTTGGCCCACGACGACGACGACGACGACGAGTGCTGCGGCCTCAGCCCACTTTTGATGTCATGGGCTCCCTTTTTGCCTTTCCCTCTTACTCTTACTCTCTCGCTGTGTCGCTGTCTCGCTCTTTCTCCCTCGCTCTCTGTCGCGTGGCTTTGACTACCTCAACGGCAAAAAAGCCGCCGCGCCACTGAACGACATTAAACCTGACTTTGCCATTGCCTCTTGCCTCTACGTGCCCCCTGTGCCCCCAGTGCCACTGCCACTGCTCTTTCGCTGTGTGTGTGTGTACCCGAACTCGAACCCGAAACCTCACCGAACCCGCCACGAATCCGCGCCAAACAAGGCAAACCAGACTGGCAAAAGAAAATCCAACAAATTATTATTATGTCCATGCCTATGTCGGGGGTCTGCATCCAATAAGGAGGTGGAGCAGTGCAGAGAGCGTGGAGCTCTCGTGTTGGTAGTGGTAGTGGTAGTGGCAGTGGCAGTGGTGCACGGTCTGTCTCTCATTGTCGGGGTCTCTCGTTCAGTGGATTTGTGTGTCTTCGCATAAATTTTGCAGCTTGTACGACAGGCATCGGAGCCATGTAGACAAGTTTTTCTTTTTCTTTTCCTTTAGCTGTTCTCCACTATCTCCCTCGTCGAGTGCACACAGATGCCCACATACACATGCACAGATGGAGAGATAGCTGGTGCAAAGATACAGATACATAATGTGTCTGTGAGTTGTAAGCAATCGGGAATGGGTGGTGTGAAAAAGGTGTTTTCCCATAAGACAGAACTAGTTCGAGAGACAGAACTAGTTCCCTTTTCGAAAGTGTCAGAGATGGAACTAGTTTTAGGGACTTTTCTTAAGGATTTTTTTTCCAGAATAAATTGAGACTTTTCTAGAACTAGTTCCGGCAATTTTTTGTTCTAGAACTAGGTAGAAATATTTAAAAAAATAATATCTTATCTCTTTCCATCAATGTTTTTGTTTTAGCCTCCCCCCCCACACACTCCAGGGTATGCGCAGTGCCATGCCATACATCAGACATCGCTACCCACTTCCCACTTGCCACTTTTCTCAGTTTCCTCTTTGCTCTTCTATTTCTATTTCTATTTCTCTATTTCTATTTATCTTTTCTGCCGGCGAACTACCCCAACAAACGGCGTGCACACGACTTCCTCTCTATCCCCGCCCCCCGCCACCACACCGTCAAACACCCCCGCAACTAGACAAACGCTCTCTCTCTCACACACACACACAATCGCATGCATACACAGACACACATAGAGATACACTGACTGTTGCACTCACACCCAAACAAATTTGTTCCACTGTACTACTGAACTGTCGTCAGTGGAGGAGGAGGAGGAGGAGGAGGCGGAGGCGAAGGAGAGTCTTCGTCGTTTGGCAGTCGGCCAAGAAGCGTCCAAAGGGGGTGTGTGTGGGTGGGTTTAGAGAAGGCTTGGTGCTTGGTGGAGGAGGGGGGGCAGAGAGAGAGAGAGGCAGAATCTGTGGCAGACATCATTGAATGCAGAAGGCCTCTTCTGGGCGGCAGCTGTATTTGTATGGATAAAACAAACACACGAACAGATAGAGAGTGGGAGAGAGAGAGAGGGATACAGAGAGAGATGTACATAGATGGAGGGCCCCCTCTCCATAGCCCCCCTCGCACCCACACCGCGGGGCACTCTACTCAGCTGTCATTGTTGATATTTTGTGTTTTCAATCTTGAACTCTTTGTGGTTCAATGTGGTGTCTAGCCGCCAACCCCCAAAATGAGACAGAGAGAGAGAGAGAGAGAGAGAAATTCACCACAGTCTAGGCTCTCTCGGTCTCCCCCCCTCTGCCCCCTCGCTGCCCCTGTGGCTGAGGCTGCCCTTGCCTTTGCCGGCTTTTCTATGCGTATGCGTACAGAGAGATAGAGACAAGAGATGGTGGTCTCGTCTCTCTCTCTCTCTCTCTCTCGATTGCAGTTCTCTCTATTGCATTCTACACTTGAACTTGCCTCACACACACACAGATATACCGCCCGTCAGGTGGAGGAGGGTGAGGAGGAGAGTGAAGAGAGAGCGTGTATCTGTATCTCGGTTTGCATTTACTTTTTAGCCACAATGTATTTGAAATGTGCAATTTATACGCCGCCCAACATACGACGACGACGACGGCGGCGACGGTCAATCATTGTACAAATATACAGACAGACAGACAAACAAACAAACGAACACGTACACGTACACATACACGTACTCGTAGATACATTCTGTACAAACATACTCGTAGATACATTTGTTGTTGTTGTTGTTGTTGCCGTTGCTGTTATTACTGTTGGTGTTGTTGCATGACTTGTGTCGATCTGGTGGCTGCCTTTCCATCAATTACGTCTCTTCAATTCTTTTTCTCTGCCCAAGGGGAAAAATTTCATTTTCCTTTGCCCTGCCTGTGCCTTTCCTCCTCTACATATATCGAATTGGAATTGTTCCAATTTAGTGAGCAGGTCTGCGATGGACTCTTTTCTCATGATTGAGATTCTTTTCAATGGGCCAAGAATTATTGAGATAATAAATGTATCTTTGGGGCAGGTGGAGCAAACATTATGAGGGTTTCTGCATGGATAGTGGGTTGAGAATGAGGGCTAGTCGATGGAGAGTGAAGGTTGGCAAAAGAAATTTGAAAGCCCAGATCTCTGAAGATCTCCAGAAGTTTGAATTTTGGCTTCAAAGATGTACGAACTTTAAGAAATCTAAATAAATTTATTGAAAGTGGTTTATTTGTGTCGCCGGACAGTGGTTTCATGATCTCCTAGTAGATCTCCCAGATACATGCCGAAACTTCTTTAGAGTCTTCACCAAATACTTTTGAGACCTTAAAAATATTGTAAAAATCCTTGAAATTGTTAAATTTTCATCTAAAAATTAATATGTGCCTATAGACACCATTTGGGTGCTCCATTTCCGATTTGATTGCTTTTGTTCCACTGTGCCAGCGTACATTTCGAATGTACGTGTGAATTTGCACTTGTGCACCCGAACCAGAAAACTGAAGAAGAAGAAGAAACGATAGAAAACAGAGAGAAGCAGAATAAAATAAAAGGAAAGCGATGATGGCACTGGCACGCACACACGTGCAAGCCTCAGAGCCACAGACAGACAGAGAGAGAGAGAGAGAGAGTAAACCCACAGCGAGAGAGGGAGAGCGAGAGAGAGAGTATCTGACGATTGCATCGGCATTTTTCATTCAAGCCTGAGAGAGGGAGAGTATCTGTGTGTGTGTGTGTGTGTGTGTGCGTGTTGCGTTTCACATTTAACTTTAGCGCTGATTCCGTTTTCGACTTTTACTCTCGCTCGCTCGCTCGCTCTCTCTCTCTCTCTCTCTCTCTCTCTGTGGAGTGGTGTGGTGAGCTTCGTGGTGAATAATTTTGTGTCGACAGAGCGACGCCGACGACTTTGTGCTCTGTTTTGGTGGCCTGGCGGCTGCCGACGTCGCGTTCAGCATTCCGTTCGGTTTTCGGTTTCGGTTTCGCTCTTGGAGTTGAGTTGTTTTTTGGATTTTGTTGTTAACGGTTCTCCACGGGTCCGCACACGGTCGCTCGTCGCTCGATTCGATCGTTCGCTCGCCGCCCCGTTCGTGCGCTCGTTTTGTCCGCTGTTTGTGTTTTGCTTACAAAAAATTTACATAAAACAAAACGAAACAAAAATACAAAATACAAAATATATTAAATACGAAACAAAAGAAATTTCAAAAATACAAAGAAAGGTTTCCCCCCACATACCCCAAAACCCACACCCCCCCATAAAAACCAAATGTTGCATATATTGTACGAGTGTCTATGAGAAATTGTTAAACAAAAAAGAAAAAAAAGAGAGAGAGAGCCCCTATAATAAATAAATAGCCCCCACAACAAGTGCAATTCGAAAGAAAGTGCAAAACAAAACAAAACAAAACGAAACGAAACAAAACGCATTGTAGCTGAGAACCAAACCACAAATTAGAGGAAAGAAGAAAGTATATTTCTTAAAATAAATATATGTATATTCATATTTGTATAGATATTATATAGCAAAGTGGCTGCAAAGTGCAAACAAATCGTGGAGATACATTCTCAGCAGAAGAGAAGAGAGCTGAGAGCAGAGAGCAGAGAACTCGTGTGGAGCGCGTGTGATTATTCTCAAGGGTGCAGGCATCCCATCTACCAGTTACAATCGAGTGAAATATCAGTCACAGTGAATACCAACCAGTTTTTGGATTATCTTTCATGGATATCTGTGGATTAGTAGCTGAATTGGCGCACTATATTGATGCATATGGTAAGAGGAAACAGATCGATCTAGTATGTCCTAAGAACCAGCTCGTTTTCCTTAACTTTAACAACAACATTTTGTGGTCCACTGAAAGAAAAAAAGGGTGCCCTGAAAACGCAACAAGTTCTGTAATTTATGGATAAACCTAAAACCTAATGTGTGTATTTTTGTGGCTTGTCTCGACTCACTTGTCACCTCTCATCGCCATTTTCCCATTTCCCTTTCGGCAGAGAAAACAACATTAACCCCACATGTGCGGCACTTTTCAATGCCAAGATACACACAGCACAGATACATTCCGAGGGAAAGATACACATGTTCCTGTGCCGTTCGATTGGTGATACATTAATTATTGTCATGACAACTGACTGACTGACTGACTGACTGACTGCCAACAAGCCAATTAAAGGCTGAAAATTGTACATTTTTCCTGCGTAAACATCCAACACATATATGTAAATCTTTTCTCTGGAGGGGGGAAGCACTTGAATCTGTAATAGGAATGCCGAAAATATGGGAAATATTGTGTTGCCACTCGAGTGGGCAGCAGCATTGATATTACTTTTGGAATTCGATTTACTCCACTGATTTACGCATAATGTATTTCTTTGCTGTTCGTCGTAGGGTGTTCAATGTGGTGTAAACAGTTTTTCAAGTGCCAAACTGGATTCTAATTGGTTCTGGGGAATCAAAATGAATGGCTAAGCCGCTTTCAATGAGATTTCGATTGAAATTGAAGCCAGGGGTCAAGTATGAGTTGGCCAAAAGATGGTATGACATCTCGAAAGGTTATACGAATTAAAGGATGCAAACAAAAAGGTTCACCCTATAAAAAGAAAGCCTCTATCTATACGGAATACTTTATTCTTGTGATCTTGTAAACCCCTTTGGGGATCTATTTTCTTTTTTGGGCTTCTCTAATTAATTTAGATTTCATTTTTGTGGACACAAAACCCCAATTTTATGTGTGGGGACATGTATTAGATTTATCTCCTAAAAAAAAGCCCAAAGCCTTTTTTTCCGTTGCCTAACTTCAGGCGGCTAATGAGGCATTAGGTAACAGCAGCAGCAACGCGGCCTCCGTCCCCACATTAGTTTAGACTCTCCCACAATTAATTTGCTGCCCCTGCCCCAGCTGCTGCCCCTGCCTCTGCCCCTTCCCCTGGGAGGCTCTCCCCCCATTTCCTGGGCGGGTTCCTGGTTAAAGTTTTCGCCTTCTACTTGGCTTGGCTTGGCTTGGCTTGACTTGGCATTTCTTTCCTTCAATTCTCGTCTCTTTCTTTTATTTTTTGCACATTATTATCGCTATTTCTCTTTTGCTACAATTTGTGGACACAGAACAGGCAAAAAGTTACTTGTTTCCTATGGAGCCCGGCCGTGGCCCTGTGGTTCTACTGCTGTTTTTCTGTGTCTGTGTTTTATGGTACATTAAAGTTGGCAAAATGGCAAATTTTAATGCGATTTTATGCAAATACGAGGAATCTACAGTAAAGACACATGTAGAAGCCAGCAGCAGCACATTCCATGTCATGCCGTGTTTTCGGGGTGCCCCCCAACACCCGCCCTGCCCTGCCCTGCCCTGCACTCGTCATGGGGCAAATTCTAGTCTTAATGGCCAGACGGTACATCATTATATGGCACTCGGATGTTGTTTATGTAGTTTCTCAGAGGTTCCATAGAATTATTGTGTAAAAGAAAACTAGCTACAGATAAATGTAGCTCTAAGCGCGTTTTTGGTATTGATTGAAAGTCATTATCATAGCTTAAAGGCAGAAATCGGTATTTCTAGTGGAAGGGGGCTGTATATATATTATTAAAATATATCTATAATGCTGCAATAACATTGCTTTAATGGCACAGCTACTATTAGCCTTCTACCATAACTATAACCATTTACAAAGTGTGTGTAACATGCAACGCCATTAGGGGCGCCCCACCTCCAGGTTCGTTCTGGCAACAGGTGGAGGAGTATCAGCCCGGACTCAAGCAGGTTCAATGTAACTGCAAACCCCCGCCCCAGAGGACTGCCAGAGGGGGGACTGGGTCAAGAGCCAGCCAGCCTCCACCTGTCTCTCTGTCTGTGGGGTCCCTACGGAAGTGCGCTCCTCTAAACTTTTGTCCGGCAATTGCATTGAGTGCCGTGCGTTATCATGTCAGTCGTTTGCTCGACTTTTGGCTGGTGGAAAACCCTGTCTTTCCCTCTACCCACTCCCCCTCTTTGATTAGCACTGGCCTGCCAGGTGCCTCGCAGCTCGGGGAACCAGTTTAGTAGTTTTTTTCTCTCTTTGGCTCTGACTTTCACATGCCTGAGAGCTGTCGACAGTTCGCAGACAATTGCCGATGACGCGCTCATCACAGACTTTTCCATGACTTTCCACAGTTTTCCTAGTAGCTGTTACAATTTTATAGTTGTTGTTGTTGTTGTTGTTTTTTCCCGTGCCCGATTAGCCGTGCAATGTGAAAAGACATACCAATGGCTTTTTCTTTTTGCGCAACAGAGGAGGCGGTGGAGGAGGAGGAGGAGGAGGAGGCGTAGCGCTCCATCTATGGTAATGACCTCGTCTTTGTCTCGCGTTTTTTTCTCTTTTTGTTTGGAATCAATGCTAAACATTTATGATTAATACCAAACCAAACAAATGACAGCATTTGCAATGCTATTAATTGAGTTTCTGTGTGGCTATAATCCAACTGCAGATCAAGGCCGCAATCGGAACCATATACGTATTTATTTGTATGGAATTGCCCAAGAGAAATGTCCGCCAGTAGCGGCGCAACTTCACACCTTTCATTAAAAGAAGATACATATGCCCGTACAGATCGTAAAAGGTCATACCTCCGTCTAGAGATGCGTATGCAAATGGGCGCCTATCGATTATGTATGCAAATCGATAGACAGAACGCGAAACCGGAAAAGGAAATGATCGGAGGAGACCTCAACCAGTTGTGTGTCTTCTTAGTATTATTTTTTATTTATACCTAGCTGGTCGGCGCCCCAAGGCTGCGCGTATCTGTGAGATACAATACGGGTATGTGCCTACCAGCCCGCAGCTCAGCTCTAAATTACTGCTGCTGCCAAATATTTGTTGGGTTTTTTATTAATGTTTGATTGGCGCTGGCGCTGGCGCTGGCGCTGGGGCATCCAATTGAGACGCGTGCCATGTCACATATTTTAGGGTGCTGGAAAAGCCAAAGAACGAAATGGCAACGAAAGTGCCATAAATCTTTGCCGGACTATGGTTTTTGGGCATTAAAAAACAAGAAAAAAGAAAAGTTTCTTTTCTGTTTTTTGCTTTTATTGCTAATTGATTTTGGGGCACGGCACAGATCTGCCTGGGAGGAAAAACAGCTGGCGGAAAAACCATGATTGGGATTGGTAGATGTTTTATAGAGTGCTATGTGGGATTATGATATTATCCTAATGGAAGATGCTGATTGGGACTTCCTAATCGGGGACAAGCCCTGGTGTGGCTTTTTCAGAGTTTTTCCATATGAATTTTGTCGGTTTTTTCTTGGCCAAAAATATCGGATATGTGTCAATTGAATGGCACCATTTTTGCATGTTTAACCAAATCAGCAAACCCCCCGCCCTTCTGCGCCCAAGAAAGAAAACCAACAACGAAATCAAATCGAAACGACAACAAAATTCGCGGAAAAGCAAAAGCGCAACCAGTTTTTGGGTTAAAACAGAGACAGACAGACTGAAAGAGAGAGAGAGAGAGGGAGAGACAGAAACCACCGTTAAGTTGTCAGGCCAGCGATGATGGGGTATCTTTGTATCTTTTTGTATATTTAGTTTTACTTGCGGTTACCTTTTTGGAGCACGTGTCTGCCGCCGCGGATGTCAATCACAACAGGAGACGAAAAGTTGCAGCCCCAGAAATGGGGTCATCTGTTGATTGGGGAGACGGGGGACCCCTTATGGAGGAAGTTTTCCTTTGAAAAAGTTGCTTTAAATAAAAGATAAATGTATAGGTAAGAGTTTTCCAAAGTTTTCCCTGAGATTCCTCTAGATATCTCTCGTTTAAAGGGGTTCCCTGATGATATATCTGCCTACATATATCATATCATTGTACATGCTCTCTTGATGACCATCATTAGGAGAAAGAGTTCTTCTCTGCTCCAGAGAAGTTCCCTCCAGTCCCATGGCGCTTTTCTGCTTCTATTTTTCTTGAACTTCTTTTTGGGTGGGCCCCGCAGGTCCATTATCTTTCGGTTTACTTTGCCATTGTGTGTGTGTGTGTGGGGGTGGGGGGCGGCTTATGGAGGGAATGTGTCGCATATGTTTCAGGCTGTTGCGTTCCCCCTCGTCCCCCCTCCGCCCGATGCCAGGCCAGCAAATGGAAATCACGCGGCGCTTGGCTCTGCTACGTGCATGGAAATAACAGCAGGAAATTAAAAGGATCCGTATAGTCCCTATGTTGTGTGTGTGTGTGTGTGTTTCATTCAGAAAGTGTGTTTGTGTGTTTGGGAGGCCTATTATGAAACCTTCTGGACAAGCCGGCAGCGGATATTTAATTGTTTTCGCTCTACAAGACCCCCCGCCCCCCTTTAGCAGTACTCCCCCTACCATCTCGTTCTCCCAACTTCCCAGTGTGGCGTGTACAACAATTGTTGTCGTTGTCGCACAGTTAATAAAGTTTATTGCATTCGGGAATGTCGGTTGCTTGCTTGGAGAGTCTCTCGTTGAAAGGGAGGAGGTCTCGTACCTTTCCTACCCGGTGGTCGCGTGCAAGTCATTGACATACTTCCACCCAAGCGAATGGAGCAGCAGGAGCAGGCGAACCGCCTCCACCGTAGGGGACATACATATCTCCATGTCCAGGTCCATGTCCAGGGGTCAGACCCTGTTTGAGGGTCAAATATGGGTTAAGTGGGGAAAGAATTGCATATGACTGGATCTTAAAGGTGATCTTAGAGGTGTTAGATCAAGAAAGTTCTCTACGGAAAGTACTATAATTATTTCTGGGATGCAATTCATAGGAATGCTTTTTAGAAGCCGTAAGAGAGCTCCATTGATTCCATTGATGGGCCGTTCCCAAATGCACTTCCCATGATGTTTATTCGAGTTAATTGAGCGCAGATCCAATTCCAGATGTTATCCAGAACCATGTAGTATGTGCATTTTTTGACAGCATTATTCATATTACCTGTTGAGTGCTGTAACCTTTGGGACATGCACATACGTCATTTCCATTATGTTATGTATTCCGGATCCTATAAATAGCTCTGTCCCCGCCCCGCTCTGGCCTTCATTTCAGGCGTAACAAATTCTTCTCTTTCTTCTGTTTTGTTTTTCGTACGTTCCCAAGAGAGAGGGAGAGAGAGGGAGAGAGAGGGAGAGAGGGAGAGTGAGTGAGAAAGAGAGTTGTGTGGGGCGAGAAAGGCGGTCTAGTCATCTGAGTCTGCGGTTTTCTACCTTTTTGACTTTCCGACTTTCAGACTCTTTTCTCTTTGTACCTTTTTGTGTTTTGTACTTAAGCTTTTGCTTCCAGAACAAACAACAACAACAAAAACACAAGTAAAACGAGCAAAACGCAGCAGAGAAGAGAACATCAGCAGCAGCAGCAGCAGCAGCAAAGGCAACGCCAGCAAGCGACACGCAAAGCAATAAAAATGCCTTAAATGTCGTACATACATATGTATATATACATATATCGCATCTTGCATATGTATGTACACATATGTATAGCCTTTAGGTGTGTGTAGATGTACGCGCTTGATTCTTTACTCTTCTTTTTCTTCGGTCGCGTCGCTAATGTTTTTCAGAAATATTTCTGAACAAAAAACAATCAAGACACAGATTGGGATACCCTGCAATCATTGAACAAAATATAAAAAACAACAAAATATAGCCTTCATCTGTTCCATTACAAACACCTGTTCGAATCTAGCATACCCCTAACGGAGAGGGTATCGAAATAAACTTAAGAACAACCTGTTTGCATTGTTTTTGTGCTCCACAGCCACAGCAAGCAGCGCAGTTGGCAGAGGCAGTGACAGCGACAGAGCGACAGGTTTCTGTTTTGTTTTTTTTTCGTTTAACTTAATGCGGGCCAAAATCTCAGCTCAGGCCGCCCTGCCCGCCCCCCTCCCCTCGCAGGGTGGAATTTGAAAGCTTAGACTAGTCTCTCTTCTGCTTCTGCTTGCCCGCTGCCGCTCTGCGCTCTCCGCTCTCCGCTGCTTCTTCCTCATGTGGATCGTGATTCTTTTCGATTTTGTTCTAAGCTCCGCTCTCACTCATGCTCTCCCTCTCTATCACGCGTGTGTGTGAGAGCGAGATGGTAGGAAACCAGTTTTTGGCGCTTAAGAAACTTTTGCTTTATTATCTTCAGGCCGCTCTCGCTCTCTCTCTCGCACTTCTATAGTGCCGGTCTTTTTAATGGATCGTCGGATGGCAGGAGAAAGAGAAGGAGCAGGGGCAAGGGCAGGGGGAGAGGGTTAACCTGCTCTCAGAGCTGGAACTGTCGATCGATTCGTCGCTCGACTGTCCCTCAAATGATTCACCTGTACAAAGCTCCGCCATGAGTCAAAACCAGTACAGTGTACACACACACACACACACACACACACACACACGAATGTATCATCGAAACTGCATTGCAAACCGAAATGAAATTCTTCTCAGACCCAGACTCAGAGACAGAGACAGAGACCAAGTCTCGTATGTACCTCCAACGATCTCCTCCACTGACCTAGACCATGACTAATCGCAGAGCAATTGTCAGTGCAGTTTACGAGTATCTGTAACTGTAACTGTAACTGTATGTGATGCATTAAATATTTATGCGCCACATTTCGCTCTTCGATTAACTTTCCCCTAATTAAATGCCTTTCAATTAGCTGCTTTCCAAATGAGGTATCGCCAGGGGAATGGGGAATGGAATGGGAATCGGAATCGATTGGGGATGGTGGCGCTGATGGGGTGATTGAACAGCAGATACAATAAATAGTCAGAGTAACTAATGCCAATGATTGGGGCCCCCACACCATTCATCCAAGCATCGTTAAAGAATACACTCTCTCAGAGAACTTTCCACTAGATAGGTTTTTGGGAGGTCCCATCCCCTCACTTTTCCGCCACAAAAAAAAAAGAGGATAGAGAAGACAAGCAAAGATAGATAAGTGAGACAAGTGTACAAACAGAGTTACAGATGCAGATGTACGGCGGCTACGATACGCGAGGAATGCCTGTAAAAAGGGAAATAAAATGGATTGGCTTGTCCGTCCAAGGGGAAGTGAAAAAATGTTCACCCTCGGCTGAATGATGGATAGAACAGATTCAGATTTCATGGAAATTTGAGAGCACACACTCACAACAGATAGGCAATCAATTTTTGGTGACATTTAACTTCGACGCGGATTTGGCAAAGACCATAAATTGCCGCAGTAAATTAATTGTTGCGAAATGGTTAAATAATACTCTCGTATGCATATGACCATAAATTTCCGAAGAGCAGAGCAGTGCAGAGCAGAGCAGAGCAGAGGTGATGTTGGATGTTCTATCAAAAGTTTGCCATCTCTACGACGAGTGGTTCCTGGTAAAACGGCGGAGAAGATTTGCGCCCGGAGATACGGAGCGGGGAACATGTGTCCGTCCAGCGAGGGGAGGGGGGTTGATGTTTGATCTATTCAAGAATTAGGTATTCCTGCTGCTTGCTTGGGGGCTTAGCTGAACTCAACGGGCGCTGTGTTCAAGGTAAGGCGAAAATTTGCAATTAAATGAAATGAAAATTTCATGAGCTCTTCTTGGCCCCGCGCTCTCAGGTGCGTTGAACCTACTACTACCACTACTTCTACCTTCTATCTAGTCTCCTAGTACTACTCTTTCAGTGTGACCATAAAATGTTGTGTGGAAGGAATCGTAGAGAAAAGAAAACGAAAACGGGTTCGCATTCGGATTCATTTTGGGCCCTCTCTTTATCCCGCCTCTCTTATTGCAGCTTTCGATTGTTCAGAGTAATTAATCGAGTAATCGAGTAATCGAGAAGGAGGAAGGCAGCGCGCGAAGATGTATTTTGAACGCAAGCAGGTGCGCAAAAAATACTAGAAAATACTACCAGAGTAGATACCGAAAAAGTGCAGCACACAGCAAGAGTGAAGAGCGAAAAGAAGTCCGCGCTGAAAGCCTGAAAACTCAAGACCCACTGAGTCGGGGAGACACACACCCCAGAAAGCGGTAGAAGGAGAACTCGAACTCCTGCCTGACGGAGGAGCTGGAGCTGTAAGAGAAGGCCAAGCCTTTCCTTCAATTTTTTTGTAACATTTTGCCAGGGACAAGTCGCTTGTCCCCAGCCAGAGAGAGCGTGTAAGGATAACGGCCACAAAACGGCGACCGTCGGCTATCAAACGATGATGAAACGACGCTGGTCGAACAACGGGGGCTTCCTGCGCGTGCCGGAGGAGTCTTCCTCGGAGGTCACATCCTCCTCCAACGGCCTGGTGCTGCCCTCCGGCGTCAACATGTCACCCTCGTCCCTGGACTCGCACGACTACTGCGACCAGGATCTATGGCTCTGCGGCAACGACGCCGGCCCCTACGGCAACAGCAACGGCAGCGGTGTCGCCCAGCAGCTGCAACAGCAGCAGCAGCAACAGCAGCAGCAGCAGCAGAGCGTCATCGCCCTGGCGATGCACGGCTGCTCCAGCACCCTGCCCGCGCAGACCACCATCATTCCCATCAACAATGGCTCCAGCAATGGCTCGAATGGGAATAATGGCCACTACGTTCCGGGTGCCACCAATCTGGGCGCCCTGGCCAACGGACTCGGCCTGGTCAACGGTCAAGGGCTGCTCAACGGCATGCAGCAGCAGCAGCAACAGCAGCAGCAGCAGCAGCAGATGCAGAATGGACACGGGCTCATCAATTCCACAACGCCCTCGATCACGGCCCCCCTGCTTCTGCAACAGAACGGTCTGGGCGGCGGAGGCGGCGTCAATGGAATGGGCCTCAATTCGCATCATCACACAAATGGCAATTCGAATGGCCTCCTCGGAGGCGGCAACATCGGTGTCGGTGGCATCGGTGGTGTAGGAGGTGGAGCAGGTGGCGGCGGTGTCATGGGCATGGCCATGCAGCACACACCGCGCAGTGATTCAGCAAATTCCATTTCATCAGGTGAGTTTCCTCCATAGGGTTCCATAATAATGAGAGAATTTAATACAAAATATACCGAAATTTTCCAACAAAAATACCAACAAATCCTAGAGTTTTTATACAAAAAAAATTGATAAAGAAATTTTCTGCAAGAAAAATGGTAAAAAAATGAGAAAAATACTAGAAATACACTTTTAAAAATTGAAAACTTTTTGCCAAAACTAAGTTTGTAATTTTTAAGAATATTTTAGTGCGTTATTAAGTCAAAATTTGTGGTTGGAATGGATAAAGTGGAACTTTTAAATACCAACACAATTTTTGAACATTTTGGGAAAATACTAGAAATGGTATAAATACTAAAAAGAAAGATAGAAATACCATTCTAGAAATTGTCTCTGAATTCTTTGGTATCCCAGTTAATTTTGGTTTTCTTAATGGAATATTCCTGTAAATTAAGTCAACTTTCTGCCAAAACTATATGGTATTTTTTGCGAATATTTCGGTTCGAGCAGACGAATTCCACAAATTGTTGTCAGGGTTTTTGATTTCCTTTTCCATCTATCTCCCTGCTTGTTTTCTGTTTTCTTTCGTCGAGAGCCACCAACCACGCCCATCTGTGCAGTACATTGCACTAATTATATTTTATTACACGAAAGAGCATTTTATGAGGCTTTTTTTTTATGGTATTTCTTGTGATTCCTCATCTCTCTCTCTTTCTCCTTCTCCTTCTGTCTCTGTTTCGTCTTTGTTGATGAGTGGACGAGAGGTGGATGGGATGGTGGGGAGAGTCTTCAAAGTCAGTTTTCGTTTGTCGGAGAGGGGGAGAGGAGGGGGGCAATCAACACACGGATACACTCAAAACAGAGAGGAGGAGGAGGAGGCATGTTCATGTGCATGTGCATGTGCATTGTTGTTCGGTTTATCAGCAGCGTCATGGTACACTGCATACACACACACACACACACACTGACGAACCAATAAACACACACACACACACACAGACAGACAGCCGGCAGAGCCATGTGCTACGGATGGGAGCTACGGGAGTATAAGGGCGGGTTTTAGTGGCTGTTGCTGCTGCTGTTGCTGCAGCCCGGGAGCTGAAGCGGGACTGCAGCGCAGCTCGATTTCGAACCTACCTCAAGTTGTTCTATATTTAGGGCCTCCCCGCAGCGAACGAGCAACGCAACTGAAGCGACGGAGCAAGGCAAAGGAATTCTCCTCCATCTTTTCCATCTTCCGCCTCTTTATACTCGTTTTTCGCCCCCTTCTTGCCCCCCCCTTTCGGCTGCAATTGTGCAGCGGTCGCGGTGACGTCACCCGGTCTGGGTCTTCGTTTCGTGGCAGCCTTCGGTTGCTGTGGAACTGACCTCGTGCCAAATGCAGCACTGCCCGGGGAAACCAGGTCAGGTCGGGTCAGCTCCTCTCGGGACTGGGACTGGGACAGGGACAGGGACAGAGAGAGGTCAGGGGTAACAGGATTGCATTTGCATATGCATTTCGACCCAAATTGTGCGGTTGCGTGGGAGTTCAAGGACAGCAAACAAACAGAATCTGAAATCGATGCAGGACGGGCGCTGCCTCTGTGTCTGCGACTGTGACTGTGACACAGTTTCCAGGCGTTGGCCCGGGACAGGGTCATCTCGGAGGAGGAGGAATAGAGCTGCCTTTCGACGGGGCTGAGGCTGGGTTAAGGCTAGGTCAGGGGCAGGTGTGCGATTCCGTGATGCAAGGAATTTAAAGGTGTTGACCAGTACAATGTGGAAGGATAGACATATTTAAGTTGGAAAAGTGAGAGCATCTTTTGAAAAACTGGAACTATTATACATACATATTTTCGTACCTTTAAGAAATTCAATGAAATATTTAGACCCTCTACAGGTGCACTGTTCATCGAAACTTGGGTTCATTGATAGTTTTTCTTGGGGCCTTCGAACTATCCGCCAATTAGGTCAGACCAAAACTAGGGCATGCATCCTTGTGATCCAGGCCAGCAACAAAATGTACCGCAAGGACAAACCGAACCGAGCCGCTGTCGATGTGCACATATGTACTCGTATGCATGTCGCTATCTCTGTCTCTCCCGCTACGTGCCTGTGCGAAAATTATGACAAGCTCAAGTACACGACCTTAGGCAGCCCCTGAAAGAGACGGCTGCTGTGGCTGCTGCTAACTGCAATCCGAGACAGCAACAACAGCAACAGCATCATTTGTGTGTGTGTGTGTGTGTGTGTGTGCGTGCGTGCTCTTTGAACAACTGTTCTATTTCGCTTCATTTCGTTTCGTTTCGTTTCGTTTCTGGACATACGGGTTGTTTGGCTTGCTGCTGCGATGCGAGCTTATTTGCATTTCTTTTGTCCAACTTTCTTGGAGGGGGTTGCTGCTCGATATTTTTCTATGACATAATTTGTGCCGAGCCGTGCCGTGCTTTGTGTGCTAGCTGGCTGGCTGGCTGGCTGGCTGCCCCGATCCTAAAGCTCAAGGACAGCAACAAGCAACCAATAAAGGTGGAACGGCAGCGGCAGAGCGGCCGAGTTATACAATGGCAAATAATTTAAACAAAATATGTATAGTCGGGGGTACTCGGGGGGTACTCGTAGTATTTGTGTGAACGATAAAACCAGAACGATAACGCCAGTTGACAAGTTTTTGCTTGCACTTCGCCTCACACTCGTGCAATTACCCACCTTATACACACGTAAATACATATGTGTGTGTGTGTGTGTGTGTATTCGCATGACGAAAAAATTGAGGTCAATGATTTTGTGCCGCCATTTCACAGTTGTCGCTGCTGCTGCTGCTGCTGCTGCTGGTTGCTGCTGCTGTCAGCTATCGACAATCGCGATCAGCCGAACGAACGAGCAAACGAACGAACAGCAAGCGCAGCAGAGAGAGCCACTTCGTGTGCAAGCGAAGCGCCAAGAACTGAACCCGAGACCCAAAACTAATGAGCGCAAAGCGTAATTGCGCTCGCTCTCCCGCTCATTGGATCGGGCTGCTCGTAGAGCGGAAGGGCGAGGCAGGGCGGTCTGTTGACGCCCGCATTGCTCATGATCGCAGCCCCTCCGTGAAGCTCCTCCTCTGCCCCCACTTAAGCCATTTGATACATTGTACGGGTATCTATGTACATACTTTGTTGTAAGCCCGATGCACACCACCGCCGACACCCGCCTGTTATTGATAAGCAAACCCCACTCCTCACCGCCCCCTGGCCTCCACCGCTGGCACTACAATTGCTTGACTTTGACTTTTAGCCATATTTTGTCAGCTGTCATGGATGGAAAACGATTAAGATATCAGAGTTATGGATCTTAACCCTCGCCAGAGATCAGAACTAATGGATCTGCCACTGCTGAGAGTGGGGGGAGATTGTGTCTTACCAAATGTTAACTTGTTTTCTTTATTCTAGCTGATTTTTGCTATTTACATAGATTCTACCATCGCATACAAAAATTGTGGATTCCAGATGCTAAAATATGACCCTTCCTAATGGAATCCGTTCCACTCATGTCATCCAATGACTTCATTTAGTTCAGTTTTTCTCTCACAGATAAAAAAAACAAAAACAAACACAAAAACCTGATTCATATTCAAATTTAAACAAATCATTTCAAACTGCATTTGGCGGCCATCTTGAAAGTTAGTCACTCGCTCAGCAGTGACGTCACAGTGGCCATAGAAAGTGCTGGTGTGTGTGTGTTTGTGTGTGTGTTGCATTCTTTTTGGCTATTTTCGTAGAATTGGCATTAATTTCACAAAGAGAGAATGGAAGGGAAGAGACACATTCAAGTGCAATAAAACGCTATCACAAGCTCTCTTTCTTTTCCCTCTCTCTCTCTCCGTCTCTCTCTATGCGAACACGTTTTTATAGGTTAATGACACAACCGGACAGGGGGCCTGCAGCTGGGTCTACGACTACAGCAAGTCAACGCAACTAGAAATAATATGTATATTATATATTCACGTGAAAACAACAACAACACACTCAAGCACACAGCTGCAGCCCGAAACAGCGATAGGAGCCTCCTAATCGTGCAAAAGAAAAGTGAAATTTAATTGTGGCAAAAATATTCCAAATATTTTTGCTGTTGTTTCGGTCGTCTTGCCCCACTGTGCCCCGCAAGCAGCCAGGCGCTAAAAATATAATAATTATTATTTAAAACAAAATGAAAGAAAATAAATAAAAATATTTGTATATGTAGATATAGGCCGCAAACTATGTCAGTAGTGTGTATGCACAAATGTTGTCCAAAATATAATAAAAATAGAAAAAAGAAATTGGGAAATATTTTGTATACACACACCAATACACACGGAACGTGTCTATTCTTGATTAGCCGCCAAAGAAAGAAAGAAAAAGTGAAATGAAATGAAATGAAAGAGAAAAATAAAAATAAAGAGGAAGAACAAAAATATCAGAAGAGAAAGAGAAAAGTATTTTCAAAAAAGGCATTCAGAAAGAGAGAGAAAAGTTGGATAAAAGTTCTTAAAACAAAGATATTTTAAGGGCTTTTATACGGTTAAAGAATAGAGAGAGGGGATCTGTATAGAACTCCCCATGCCACTCTAGCTTTTATGTCATATCATCTATCTCCCTCGCTCCCTTTCTCTCCGTCTCAGGGAGGAGTACTTTCCGTTAGATAAGCCACCCAAACCCCAAGGTCTTGTTAGGGATCTCGATCTCCGCAAAGACCAACTAACACACTTATAGTGTCTGCCATCTCATCTTTCTCTCTCGGTCTGTCTGTGTCTCTAAGATGTTCTCTCCCACTCTGGCCGCCAATTAGTGCAGCATTCTTGACTCCACTGCGACTCGGACGACTCCGACAACTTTCTTCGGTGCGGAAAAAACGAGTTTCCGCCGCCGCCAGACACCATTCGTTCGGTATTCTGTTTCTTGACTTTCTTCTTCACTTCGGGGCTTCGGGCTTCTATAAAAGCCATAAAGTTGTCTCACTTTCTTTCGTCTTGCGGTCTCTCTCTCTCTCTCTCTCTCTCTCGCTGGCTGTCTCTCTTGCTGG